TAGTGCATTACTACCATTAGTATAAAAAAGTAGGGTTAAGTGTCATCGACAGTCGAAAGCCAAAAAAAAGAAAAAAGAAACCCAGTTAAATACTTTATTTCTTGTTTTTCAAGTTTATTCTTTATTATTATAAAAGTAATTAAAATGTAAAATGAAGGATCTCTAGGTTAGATGAAGTAAATTAATTAACAATAAAAATGTTTTACGAGGCACACACACGAACAGCTCAGACACAGAGTAGGTTGTGGGTAATGTAATTCAATAGCATAATGTGAGCTCCATGTTTCCCAAGTGATTTACAACTTATAATGGCAAGGAAGAGAGTTAAACCACACATGGATCATTTATGATAAAAAATTAACAACTTACTTAATATAGAATATGTTTTATGTTATTTGAATAATATACATCATATTTATTTGTAGAATAAGCTATCTTTATGAACAATATCTGAGAAAATTATCATACGTACTTAAAAGCGGACTTGGGGGTTGGAATTTTGCTACCAGGCTGTAATGTTGTTGAGTTAAGATTTGGTGTTACTGATCTCTTGGATGGCTCTGTAGTTAAAAAAGAAAGTATACACAGATTATCTCCATATGCTTGGGGGTTTTGACTAATGTTTTCTTCTCTGTAACAGCATTGAATGTAATATGCTTTATGCTGTAAGAAGTAATATTCTCAAACATCTAAATTGAACCTATTCTGACTTCTAAGTAGTAATGTCTTAACATAAAAAATTACTAACCTTGGTTTAAAGCTTTGATTAACAAATTATAGACTTGTCAACAGAGTTATATCACTAACGATTAACTATTGAATAATCATGTATATCTCTAGTCTGTGCCTAAACTTGTTACTTTAAGTCTTTAGTACTATATTATTTTAACATTTCACTTTCATCATTATAAATTCACCAAGTTAGAAACAAACCTAAGGACGAAGCTGGAGTTTCTCCCTGAGGATGTTTAACAGACATGTTTTTGTTGTTACTCTGCAGTTTAGATGGCACAGCTCCAGACAGTCTTGATGAAGAGTTTTTATGCAAGCTAGTAATGCTGCTTCTTGTAGTTACACTGTCAGATGAGCGACTTTTACTCAGACACGTAACATTACTTTTTCCATTTAAACTTTCAGAGGAAGGCTTCTTTCTATGGTTTGTGATGCTAGCTCCCCCAGCTACGCTGTAACACGATGCACTTTTTGTGAGAACTGGTGATGAAAGAAGCTCAGTAGCTTGTGGGAGATCTCTAGTAGGCCGAGAAAGTGGGCAAAGTTTGTCCCATGTTTCAGATTGATGAGTGGCTTCAAGAGGTGACAGTAACATTTGTTCCGGTGTTCTTGGCTGACTGGTTGGTGAGGGCAGAGGAGAAGGTAACAGCTTGTCCAGGTTTGCAAGCTGACTATTAGGAGAAGGTAACTGCTTGTCCAAGTTTGTTGGATGACCAGTGAGAGAAGGTAATAACTGATCCAGTGTTATTGGCTGACCAGTGGGTGAGGGCAAAGGAGAAGGACAACGGTCACCTGCTGCAGTCTTCACCAGACCAAGATGTGGAGTTGGGATTCTTGTTCCAGCCTGACTCCTGATAAACAAGGTTTACCAATTTTACTACCTAAGCAGCAGCAACTATATACACACAACTATGCTAACTGACATTTCATTTCTTGGTCATTCTAAGTCACATTGTTGTTAAAAAACTATGCTATCTAGTTCTTTTGTTGCTATCCAAGTTATTGAACAATAAAGTCACTTACAATTTAAAACAATATCTCTAGTACCTAGCTAAGAAGGAATTAGATAACTTCTATTTATATATTTATGATTTTCATTGTTTTGTGTTATTTCGTAAACTTAAACTAAAAACAATCATATGATTTTGTTTATTACAAAGGTTGTGACAATAATGTGCTCTGACATCCATTATTGGAACTAATCAGTTAACATTATAGTTTAATAAAATTAATCCAGAGAACTTTAGCTACTCTACAGTGACAAACTTTTACCTGGTATTGTTCAAAGCTACAGCTTTTCTGCTAGGGATGGGGGTACGTGGGTCTGGCCGAACCTGAGGCCCAGCCTTTTTCCTACCATTAAGAGAATGGGAAGCAGAACTGATTCCTTTTGATAAGTTGCTCCTCAGATTGGCTTCTTTCTCTGATCTCCGAGAGACTAGATTAGACACTTCAAATCCTGAAGATTTTCTTCTTTGTTGAATAACAGATCTTCCTGCTGGGCCTTCAAAACAAAAGCCAACGATATAGGATAAAAAAACTTTATATGAAAGACAAAAGAAACAACAGCAATGGATAAAATTTTTGCATAACTAAAGAATATAAAATGCAGTGCGTAACAGAACAACGTAAAACGCAGAACAGTAAATAACAGTGTATAACAATATATTAAACTGAACTATGAAACTAGGTAGTGTTGCTTGTGAACAATATTTGCTCATAATATCTACCACTAAACAACAGACTAATAAGTATGATTCCTTACAATATTTTACAACTAAACCTCTACAACAGTTCCAAATAATACTGGGTGTAAGTATCAATGGCATGCAAAAACCTACACAGTAGCCAAGAATAAGGTACAATATTAATATAAATATTATATATTATGAAAAAAAAACAACTTCTACAAATGCCAAACCTTAAACACAATATGATAAAACCTTTATGATGGCTCAGGTCACTTTATGGGATTATCGAGAAACTTAAAGTGTTGAGCCACCTGATGGAAATATTCAGAAACCTAAAGGGTTAAATTATCTTATGGAAATATTTAGAAACTAACAAGTTTGAATCACTTACTTCTCTTCACCCTTGTTGTTACTGGACTAGAAGGAGCAGAAGCAATAATTCTGGGTGGAGACAATGATCTGTAGACTCGAGGCTGTTGGCTTTCATTTTCATCTTGAACACTTGAGTTTCTACATACAGGCTTTTCTAAAAGAAAAATATGCACAGATTTTTGTGACTTATCTTGAAGTTATATATACATGCTACAAAAACAACCACAAAAACTCTTAAATAATTACATTTTGTTTAATATTTAACATTATAGTTTATCTAACAAATTTCAAAACAAATATCCTGTTTATCAAATAATGGCCTAGAAGACAGCTGATTAAGGTTTTATCAAAAGAATGACGATTCGGAGACAAACATTAATTGTACAACTTGGAGTCAAATGCTAATTGTACAAGGACTTTGGATACAATGTTAATTGTATATATAGACTTCAGGTAAAATACCTTTACGAACGGGAATCTTTCCCTTCCTAGTCAGACTTCCAGGACAGGATTTTGAATTGAAAGTGTATTCTTTAGTGTGAAATTCTTTTCTGAGTTTATCTTCCTGTAAAATACACAAAATAAAAATTACAAATTTAATGGATGAAAAATGAGCTTCTACTAGGTCATCAAGAAATTAATGTCACATTTTGGAACACTTTCATTAACCACCACATAAAAACGTACATCACGTATAATAGTTAAACGAACC